TGAAAACATTGACAAGAAAAAATACTCTTGATTCAATCGGATTTTTGCTTGAATCAAAAGGAAATCCGCTTAAATTAAGAGGCTTGGTTCTTGATTTAAGCTGAAATCTGATTAAATCAAGAGTACTTTTTCTTGTCGATGTTTTTAAGAGTTTGGACTCTAGATCCAATGTGTTTTTTTTCCAATGAAGACAAAACTAACCATGTAAACATATTTTTTCATGGTTTCAGTAATCTCATTGCAAATAATGAAAATGCACAATCTTAGCATCATTGCAATTCCTCTGGTTCCTTTTTGCAAAATGCAATCCAAATAAGAGTCGACGGAAAAAATGCAAACGAGACGATTGGCGGGCTACGAAAAGTGTCGAAAATCAGAGGGTGACGAGAGAGAGTGTGACCGTTAAATCGGTAATTTGAGGCGGGTCGCGGAGCCCGGCGCTGTTTACAAGACGTCAGGGATGATGTCCAGACTGTCGAAAGGGACAGGGACACCTGTTGAGTATTCATACGGTGCCCGTTAACGGCCAACTGCCACGCTCCGCCGCACCGCCCCTTTAAGGATCCGCGTCCGCAGTGGGGGTGGGGTGGGGTGGGGGTAATGAGGGAAGGAATACATTCCGGGCCAATGCTCGCAATCGCAATGTCTCCGAGGGAGGTTCTCTGGGGTTTACTTTAATTTATGGGCCTCCGACTCGCTGGACTGGAGAATTCGCGACAAAACGAGGAGAGAGCTAAGACGATGCTAAGGAAGAACGCCGTATGAACATTCGAGAATTGACAAATTTCCTCACTGGAAAAAAACACATTGGATCTAGAGTCCAGACTCTTGAAAACATTGACAAGAAAAAATACTCTTGATTCAATCGGATTTAAGCTTAAATTAAAAGGAAATCCGCTCAAATTAAGAGGCTTGGTTCTTGATTCAAGCTTAAATCTGATGGAATCAAGAGTATTGTTTCTTGTCGATGTTTTTAAGAGTCTCGACTCTAGATCCAATGTGTTTTTTTTTTCAGCGCTTCACTAAAATGTATATTTTTATGAAATTTACATCAATATATTTCCTTGAAAATTTCAGGAACCCAAGATGAAATTGCGATCAAAATTATCTGGAAAATTGGAAGAAAAATTTGCATAAGTTTACCGGGGAAGTCGTGTTTTATCAGAGGAAATTTGACAACGCCTGAAGGTTCATATGATGTTTTTCCGTGACACGGCAGAGCTGAGACCATGCTCAGGATTCATGGCGGTTTGTTCAATCCAAAATCAAGGAGCTTTTAGAACTACTCGAGGAATTGCAGAACGAGTGATTTAGAGTCGTATTCGGGTGGTTTCTCGATACTGGAATAGTTTTGTCGCCGCAGCAGACAACACATTTTAACTGACAATCACTCGACTTTTTTTGCATTAATCCACATTGGAAAAAAAGATTGGATCTAGAATCCAGACTCTTAAAAACATCAACAAGAAAAAATACTCTTGATTCAATCAGATTTAAGCTTAAATCAAGAACCCAGCGTCTAAATTTGAGCGAATTTCCTTTTGATTTAAGCTTAAATCTGATTGAATCAAGAGTCCTTTTTCTTGTCAATGTTTTCAAGAGTCTGGACTCTAGATCCAATGTGTTTTTTTCCAGTGTACACAAGGTTACGTGTTACACGAAGAAAAAAAACTTCGTGCATGGGACCCGAAGTTAAGGTCATATGGATCTCTGAAGTTTTCTGATCACGCATCTGAAAACTTGAGGTCGAGCTGCCAAAGTTTGGATCTGACACTTCGGTACTGCACTAGCACTTCGGTATGTACCGGAGAACTTCAGGTGTGTGACCCGAACCCTTCGGTATATATCAAAGTACTTCAGATGTCTGACCTGAACTTTGGCAGCTGGACCTCAAGTTCTTAGATACGTGATCCGAAAACTTCAGAGATCCATATGACCTCAACGTCGGGTCCCACGCACGAAGTTTTTTTCTCCGTGTGGAAGCGGATGGTTGCAATAGACAATGAAGGTGAGTATTAGACTAACTAACGACAAAGCACGAGACACCCTATAATAAGTCCATCATTTTCCCATTTAGTCGATAAGAACCACCCGTTTTAGCCAATGGGATGGCTCCAGTTTCCTCTTGCTCTCTTTGTCTATAGCTGTGTCTATAATTTCAATAATGGGCCGACTGAAGCACTGGTTATTGTGACTATAAACATCGACAAATACATTCAAGATAGGGAAATCGTCGCTCCTCTGACGTTGGGACGCATCTCAATTTCAACGTGAACCCTGTTCTCCGAATAAGAGTAGGCTTTCCAGGGCTCATGTGGAAATGAGGTAAGATCCTACGTCAGGTCAAATGAGCGCCGAAATGAGCGAGCCTGGTTTTGACAGTTTTTCGATAAGGGGGCGACGACTCGACTCGAATCGGAGTGCTACAGGGCTCTACTACTCCGTCGTGCTAAGGAATAACCCCGTATGAACATTCAAGAGTTGTCAAATTTTTTCGATAAAATTTGTATTTTTTAGGAAAGTTATGAATATTTTTCCTTTCAATTTTCAGAATCTTTAGGTAAAATTGCGTGCTCAATTATCTGAAAAATGGGGAGGAAAATATTCATAAATTTACCGGAAAATTTGCGTTTTTTCGAGGGAAATTTGGCAACGCATGAAGGTTCATGCGGCGTTTTTCCTTAGCACGGCAGTACTGTCATTTAACTTTTGAAATTGATGTCACTTTTCCGGAAATGAACGCTCAGCTTCGCTTTGATCAACATTTTCAAAACAAAGGACCTGATATTTTCCTTTTGATATTCGATACCATTACCGTCATACATTTTTGAGTCCTGAGATTAACGGTAAGTTTTGGGGCCGTTCATGGACAAAGAGGGGAAATTCGAAATCTATAAAGAGAGCGCCATCAGGTGTTGCTGAGATTTTGCAACGAATCCTGTGGTTTAACGAGAATCTGATGGCCCATACATATCAATTGAACGGGTTTTTTGAAGATGGAAGTAATTTCCAAAACTCAAGTTTCGAGAAAATTTGTAAACTTGTTTTGTCCTGAAAAATTCTTCATATTTCTGTTCGGGAAAAATGAACCAATGTTCTATCTACCATCCTTAATAAGACCATAGTCCCGCGAGCAGTGTCAGAAACATCAAACAAGGAGAAAATTGTAAAACTCATGTGAGATACGCTCATTTCCAACGAAAATGCTCAGTAATGCTATTTTAGCAGTATAAATACAGTCAAATACCATGCGAGTTTGATGGCAATTTTAAAAAAGATAATCTGGGTTTTAACACATGCTCGCGGTTTTCATCGTTGAAAAGGACCCTCGGCGAGATTTCTTTGAACCTTTTTCCACTGTAAAAATCTTCAAATCTTGGAAAAATAAGTTTGAAGATCAATTGGACTACATTTTGCATTTTGGAACTATACATTCTAGCCAGGTTTAAAAACGACGTATGTGCCATTAGTTTTCCTATGCACACAAGTGTTTTTCCAGAAGAGCCAGAATTCACAGTTCCAAATTGCAAAATGCAGTCCAATTTTGGTAGAATCACTCGAAGGGAAGATGCGTCTAGTTTCGAAGAATAGAGGCCCACCCTAAATCAATTTCCAAAAATGTTGCGGTTACGATTTTTTTTCCAAATAACTCGTTCAATTAAAGGAACATTGTTCCTCTGAAGACCGATCTGCAATAATAGTTGAAAATTAATTAATCCGATAATTAATTGGATTAAATTTGGAATTTGGGAACTATAATTTCTGGCTTTTCATAAAAACACGTATATGTACATAAAGAAACTAATGATACTTACGCTGTATCTAAACTGAGCCAGATATTTTACTTCCAAATTGCAAAATGCAGTCCAATTGTGGGTCTCTTATCATTACTTGGCTCTTAACTTAGAGGCTATTGTTTTTTCAAGATGCATACACAATGACAGCGTAGATTGCTGTCAAGATCAAATCTACTTGTTCCATTCTGATAATCTCTATACCTTGGAAATTTGATAGATAAAAAAATAGTATCCTCTCTAATTGAGTGTAGACGTTACAACGGACGCACTGAGGAAAAACATGGGTTTCTATGGAAAAACACTTTTGAGTGGTGTGATTCATGACTGTTGAAAGCGGTGGCTATAAAAATCAACGAGTCATGAGTTTAACTCTAATTGTATTGAAGCTACCATGTAAGTAACTGAACGAATTTGTTTTGTTTTTAACATGTGGTTATTGATTTATATTATTTTCAGCCTCATACACTGTTAAAAAGTTCCGCGTTTGGTGCTATACTTTGTGCTTTTTTGGTTTACTTTTCTTTGTGTCAGATCAATCCAAAGGACTCAGATTTCGTGTTAAATTGATCCACACTACGGGCTACTCTAATATATCGGATCATTTGATTAGAAGGAATGCTTTCTCTAGCATTGTACCAAAAATGCAGCTTTTCGATTTCTATAGAGAACTTGCACTTTATGAGTACTTTGCTGGTATCTAAGTTCTTTGCAGAAAAACCCTAAAATTAGTATAAACAGTAATTCCACTGTCAAAAATCAATTTTGGTTCGGTTCATTTCAATACCTTTTTAACTTTTGCTAAGCAGCAATTTTTTCGTCTTAAATTAAGCCAAATTGAAAAATACATTTTTGCAGATTTAAAAAAACATAGATTGCAGACATCAAATCGTCATCTTCCGGCAAAAGTATCACAATCTCATGCGACGATTGCGACGCTAAAAATTTCCATCGCCATTTTATTTTTTAACAGAGAAATTGTTTGTTGATTATTTTTGAAAATGTCACTGAATTTTATCGGCAGCACAAAAAAAGTTCAGGGAAAGCGGACAGCTTCCTTGAACGATCTTTGTAAAAAATAAAATGGCGGCGGAAATGTTTAAACCTCGTATGGTGCTTGTACTACTTTGGCCGCAACGTAACGATATCTTAGCATAGAATCTTGAATTACAAGTTTATGAAAACGTCTTTCTTTCTTTTCCAGCAAAGTCCTTGGAAGCAGATCTTTTTGGTGGAAACAAGGCGTTCATTAAAAGTCGATAAAATGATCGCTTTCGTCAAGTTGATTTTCTGTCTACTAGTGGCATTTCTCCTCCAACAGGTAAGATATTTATTGGTATGATTCCGTTGTCCTAGTATTGTGCACATCACAATCATTAAGATGTGGGCATGCGAATGAGCGAGCTTGCAATCATTTGATAAGATACCGGATCAATGGGACGACACTTTGGGATGTGTCAGTTGCGCTAGACTTAGAATCGTACATTGATGCTTGATTGCTTGATACTTGTCGATCAGCTGAAAATATTAAGATTTGTCCAAACAGGAACTTTCTTCCTTGAAAATAAACCTAAATATCGTGCTTTGAAAAATTCATTTTATGACCTCTCCCACCTTAGTAGTGACTCCCTTGGTTTCTTCGACCTTGCTTTTCACAGTCCGAAAGCGGCATTTGCTTTAGTTACTCAACGTGTAACTCGGATGAAAGCAAGGGAAGGAAACAAGGGTGTCACTACCGCAGTGAATGACGTCATAAATCGAATTTTTCAAAGCGCGACATTCAAGGAGGTATCAAAAAAAGGCATCAGATGTGTGAGGATCCATCGTAAATATAAATCGAAAATTACCCTAAAAAGCATCACACGGAAAAAATTAAATTGCTGATTTAACAAGTAAATTGCTAAAAAAAGTGACTGTAATGTTTCAATGTAGATTTTACAACAAAAAAATGCTACTTTAATCAACCCTGTTGTTAAATTAGCTTACAATAGTGGTTACAGTAGCATTTTTTTGTTTTAGAATCTACGTTGACGTTGCAGTCACTTTTTTTTAGCAATTGATTTGTTAAATCAGCAATTTAATTTTTATGTGCACCCATTGTCTCATTACGTGTGGGAGAGGGAGCGTCATAATAACTTCCTCTTGCACACTGAGTCAAAGAGCACATCCGTTTTGGCAGTTGCCGCTTTGCATTTACAATGAATCTTCTCAAATTCGATGTCATTCGATTGGTTCTCTGCAGCATTGATGTTGATATATTTTATGAATTAGTTTCTTGTATTGACTTATGTATTACGAAAATGGACCACAGGACATGGTTCAAAAAGCATTTCGATCAAAGTCTCTTGGTCCAAATTTCAGTTATGGGTCAGTAGTGAGTAAATGCATCGAAGCTATGTATATTCGTAGACGATTTTATTGCTTGGGGCTTTGAGCGTTTAAACACTCTGATGATGACAAAGGGAGTCGAAAAGCCTAAAGCGATGCTATTTTTTTAAAATTGAATGTGTATGTACATGGCTTTAATTATTTTAGTCACCAAGGGTTCAATATGACGATGTTTTTAATATTAATAGAATAAGCTATAGATCGATTTCTTGCGTGAACTTGTACATTGCAATAACGGAGATGTTGCATGTGTGAGGAATTTGCCATTTGACTAATGATTCTTATGTAAAAGTTCGCGAGAAACACGATGGTGCTACTGGTTTTCTCTGAAATCAACTCCCAAGCTCAAAAAAGCTCAGGGCAAGGGCTGCCACTTTATTTGGGGACTCCAAAACTGAAAACAGGGTAACCCTGCTAATGTATTTGCTCCCTATCTTTGCATGGAGAGTTTGTCTTGATGTAGACGTGGACTCGGAGGGTAGGGTGGGATATCCCCTCCATTTTAGCCTCAACTTGAGAGCTTTTTTTGAGCTTGGGAGTTGATGTCAGAGAAAACCAGTAGTAGCATCGTGTTTTTCGCCAACTTTCACATAAGAATCAACAGTCAAATCGCAAATTCCTCACACATGCAAGATCTCCATTTTTGCTCCTCAAAGACGTAAAAGGTAAAAGAACGCAGCACGGTGGCGGCCTTGTCCCTAGATCACTTACAATCATCTTAACACCTTAAGCAATCTTAAGCAATCATCTTAAGCAAAACAGTCACATCTACATCGCATTGCTTCAATATCTTATCTCCAACCTTAATTTTTTTGGAAGAAACAACAAACATTTTCATTTAAAATTTTGTGGAAATAACCCTCTTATGGGCAAAAAAAAAAAACGAAAATGCACAAATATTAGAGTAAGAATGTCGGTTGGTTTCCTTCCAAAAAAATAAAAATAGGAGATGCATTATGAAACACTACAATATAAATGTGGCTGCTTTGCTTGACTCTATTCAGTTTCTCTTCACTCTCTTCAATTGATAGGCTTCTCCTGGATAACGAAGCTCATTTAGAGAGTCCGCATTTTTTAATAAAGCTCATGGATGTCTGCCAAATGATGAAAAGCAAGGGAAACAGTAAGAAATGACGGATTATGAGTCCGATTCAGCTGAATACTACATAGGCGGTATCTTAAAAAATCGGCTATTTCTTTGCCATGCTAAGGAAGAACACCGTATGAACCTTCAGGCGTTGCCAAATTTCCTTCTGTAAACCACACATTTTCGGGAAAAGTTGTAAATGTTTTTCCTCCAATTTTTCAGGTAATTTTGTTCGCAATTTCACCTTAAGTTCCTGAAATTTTAAGGAAAAATATCCATGGCTTCCTTTAAAAATAAACACTTCATTAAAGGACATTTGGCAACTCTTGAATGTTCATACGGCGTTCTTCCTTAACATGGCAGTACTGTCTAACTAGCTCAAAAATAAATACTTGAGCGCACATGGCACACCAAATCAAATTCATAAGTTCTTCTGAAATCATTAAAAATAATCTTCTCTTTAAATTACATGCAATTTTTCTCTATCTAAGGTAGAATTTTCTTTCCTTGCTGTTTCGAGACATATTGCGTAGAAGATAGGGATGAAAATACATTATATTCAACAACGTGATATCCAAAATTTTCAGGTAATCCTTGCCGGGCAAACTCAAGTCTCAGGATTTGCAGGGAAAACTGAAAATTCAAGGGATGGCAGCATGCAGAGGATCGAATCACTAGCCACTGCCTCCAAAAGGACCTCTACTTTCAATGGTGAGGAAAATCTTCCAAACTACGACAATGTTTTTACTGCGAACGAGAGAGCAAAAATCTCTCCAGAAGAAGTGTTAGGTACTAAGGAATTTCTGAAATATTTCAACAGAAACTTCCTTCAAATGCCCAAAGGTGCTGCATTACCCACCATACCCACCTTAGAACCGTCGACAATCACAACTCCTACAGCACCTACAACTCCGACGATTCCCACTTTGCCACCAATTTCTTCACTCCGTAAACGATCCGTAGGTGCTGCACTACCCACCATACCCACCTTAGAGCCGTCGACAATCACAACTCCTACAGCACCTACAGCACCTACAACTCCGACGATTCCCACCTTGCCACCAATTTCTTCACTCCGTAAACGATCCGTAGGTGCTGCACTACCCACCATACCCACCTTAGAGCCGTCGACAATCACAACTCCTACAGCACCTACAGCACCTACAACTCCGACGATTCCCACCTTGCCACCAATCTCTTCACTCCGTAAACGATCCGTAGGTGCTGCACTACCCACCATACCCACCTTAGAACCGTCGACAATCACAACTCCTACAGCTCCTACAGCACCTACAGCACCTACAGCACCTACAACTCCGATGATTCCCACATTGCCACCATTTTTTTCACTCCGTGAATGATCCATTGCTGCTGCAGTAACCACATCCCTACAGGGCTCTGACTTTCGGATTTTCCACGTCACGTACAGATCCTAGAATGCCTGCATACCTAATATAGACGTTTCTGAGTTTTGGTACTGTAAAAAAATAACTATGTCAAACGAGTTATACTTGCAAATAAAGTAATTTCAGTCACTATCGAAAAGTATGTGTTGAAAATCTGTCCTCTCTGATGTCCTATAAAAATTGTATCAATGCTCTTCGGTAATTTTACCGCACATCTAAGTCGGATGATATTCTCCGTGTAATTATTAATAAACTACCTTAATAAACTATCGAGGATTTAATAATTAACAAAGACGTGGTATTTTTCAACCATGTCAGATCGAGCGTATGTTCAATTAGCTTCCTTATTCAGATAAGTGCTTCTTTGATCCGCCTAAAACAGTAGTTCCTTATCACAAATCGTCGTTTCCCGGACGTAGAAACGTAACTCCATTCCCAGGTTGCCAAATCAACCCAAACAATTAATTTTTCTAGAAGGAAGAACTGTGTGCAATTTCTGTCAGACATTTTCCAACTTTTTGCATAAGATCAGAGGGAAAATCGGTGGAAATTCCAGTCGAAACGTCCGCGATTTCCTTAATAAAAATTCAACTTCCGACGGGAAATTTGGCGAGATTGGAATGAAGTTAGGTTCTTTCGTGAAGAAAACGGCGAAATATTGTGTATCGCAAATGCATTCCAAATGGACGTATTTCTGCCCAACGGAACTATGTGCATTATGACGTGAGCCGTGTTATGCATGTATTTTTATGGGTCTTAGGGCTCACGTCTTAATGCAAATTGTTCCGTTTGGCAGAAATGCGTCCAAATTACAAGTGAGAGCGCGGAAAACTCACAGGCTACCCCGATCCCGATACGAACATTCAACAGGAACCAGTTGATCGGGGCGGAGGCGCTGCCGAAAAGGCGACCCAACTAAAACCGACCGGCGCTCCGGCGGCAAAAGACCGCGGTATCGGGTCCGACAAAGATCCAAGGCTGCCAAATTTTAAGATAAAATGTAAATGTTCCACATACTTTTAAATTGGAAAGTATGACGATTTTCAGCACTATCTGGCAACGATACAATGAGCCAAGCTTGAGGGAATCGAGTTAAGGCACTTAAGTGTCCTTTGATGCGTCGCGCTGCCTCACTCCGACGCGACGTGGGAAGAGGACACACCGGGG